TTAGTATTTATTTGTTAATATGATCCTCTGTTTTGCTTTCCCTTTAGGATTGTCTGCTGCCAAACTCTTGACTGAACATGGTATTAAAGTTTTGGTCTTAGAAGCCCGAGACAGAGTAGGAGGAAGAACATACACTGTGAGGGTAAGTGGTTTTCACACTTTGTGTATAAAATAACTTGCAAACTAGAAATTTGATATTGGAGAATGACAGAGCTTTCGACTTCCATAAAAAGTTAGAGTCTCAGAAATCCATCACAAAAACAAGGTTCAAGCGAAACTGCTTTTACAAAAAAAGTCTCTATGACCAGAGAGAACCTTCCCAGGCAACGCCACTGGGCGCACTAACTCAGAGTGAGTGGCTAGATGTTTTCCTGGTGGGAAAACAATGCGTACTATGAAAGCTCTGTCCAGTGGAGCTTTTTCTGTTTGTTTGGGGTTTTTTTTTTTTTGAGGAGGGGGGGTTGTACCTCCTCGTATGTACACATACATGCATGTAAACATGCTATAAATTTCATGTTTCAAAGACTCACACTTCAGTGAGTAAGCTGCATTAAGCAGGAGTAAGTATAGTATATTTTTGTATAACTTTTCCTTCATCTCTTGTTTCTTGAAAGGTGTTCTACTACATAAGACACTGTTTAGGTAGCATCTAGCAGGATATGAGAAGGGAACTTAGTTTTTACTACAGCATTGCCTTTTGTACCTGGAGATATATTACCATTCTGGAAGGCTGTCTACTCCTGTAAAAATTTATTGTCTCATAAACTCTGTATAGTATTATGTCTATGAATCAGAACTGACTCATTGGCAGTAGATTAATTATTCTAGAAAGGGATGATTACATACAATTGTATCTATGGGGGCTGATGAAAGTTCAAGGAGAGAGGATGTATAATGAGAGGGAAACAGGGTGCAAGATGGAAGTTGGGTGAGCATGCTGATTTAAGGTTAGATACAGGCAGAGAAGCCATAGAAGCAGTAGAGCAGAGGAGGAGGGTAAGACTAGGGAACATTTCAGTGCAAGTCAATGGAAGGATGAGGACGGGATGATCAACACGTTAAACGACATGCATTTGACATAGGATCAAGAAGTAAAAAGGCTCCTTGTGTTTGGTGATTAGAAGGCTATCAGTACAATCTTTACTAGAGCCCCCAAATAGAATGTTGAAAGCTGGGAGATAAGCAATGAGAACAATACTGGACTGTTGACGTGAGTAGAGGATAAGGAAACATTTATCTAATTACCATCCTTTACTCAAATAATGTATGGGTTAAACTTTATTTTTTCAAACTGTACAACCCCCATGCATGATAATTTCCTGTACTCATACGTATTATGTTCATCTTGCTACCTTCAGGTTATTCCAACTCATAGCAACCCTATATGACAGGGTAGAAATGCCCCTCTGGGTTTCTGAGAC